CTAAACCCAGTAACCTCAGAGCAATAGCCAGAGCAAAACAGAACCAGGAAGAACCTTCACTGGCCAGTGATTCTCATTTGTACAGAAAGCTCTGGATAACACAGGCCACGGGGCTGTTTTCCTGGCAGCGTCTGTTCTATATGCTGGAGTTGCCTTTAGTAATCTGTATTGAGATAAAGTTCCTTCAGTGATTTTGATGGTCAGCTTGTTTTTGAATCACTGCCCCTTCAGCCTGTCACTGCTCAGACATTAGGAAGCGCCTCCCCACTCCACCCAAGTCGCCAAGTCTCCTGATACCATGTCATTGTACTGTGTAGAAAAGTGGCCACTGTCAGAAAAGTGGTCAATTGTCTCATGATGGGTCTGTTCTCCCTCTGAGACTGACATCCAGAAACAAAGATTTTGACTTTTTCATCTTGTATTCTTGGCAGGCAGCTCTACTGAATCAATACTTGTTGAATAAGTGGGGTACAAGTATGAAACTATTGCAGGATAATGGCATAACATAAGAAATGATCATGGTTGTAAAAAAAAAAAAAAACAGCAAAAAAAAAAAAAACAGCAGTCAATCTATTTCAGAAGCTCCAAACTGGCACCTCAGAACCAAACCATGTAACAGACACAGTGTGGTGGGGGAAGAGGTCCCATGTCCTTCAACTCCTTGCACCACAGCCCTCCCCCGCCACCACGTCCCACATTTCTGTAATCTGCTCATGCCCTGGAGGTGGTGGAGATTTTATATTCCGCTCTGTACTTTGACTACTATGCAGAAGAAAAACATACAGTATCAAGAGTTTACAGACATGCCTGGCAAAGACAGACCTTATGCAATAAACTGTGTAGGGGTCTTGCTGGTCCTGCAGGGTCTGGGGACAGAGGTCAAGGTCAGGAGCATGTCAGTGGGTTGTTTCAGGCAAGACACCCCTCCTTCACTAAGGGTGGGTCCCCAAGAGGAGTATAACTTGTCAATTATATCTTTCGTGGACCATGCCCTAGGTATGTCATCACATACCTAGGTCATCTAAGTTTTCTCCAATGTTTAATTATCTAGAAAATTCATGCTTTACTTTTGCGTTTAGGCCAATGATCCATTTTCAGTTAATTTTTGTGAAGTTTGTAAGGTCTGTCTAGATTCCCCCTTTCTTTGCATGTTTTTTTGCATGTTCAGTTTCCCCAGTGACATTTGTTGAAAGACTTTTTGCTCTGTTGTATGGCCTTTGCCTTTATTAAAGAGCAGTTGAACATATTCGTAAGGGCCTGTTTCTGGGTTCTTTATTCTGTCCCATTGATCTATGTGTCTGTTATTTCACCAACATCACACTGTCTTCGTGAAGAAGCTATTTCATTAATGTTTATATTCTGTTCTCATCTTTTCAGCTGGGTGTCCAGCACAGTGCTCTTTTTTCTGAGTGCTTTGCTCAGTTTTTTACTGTGACTGCCTCTCTTGTTTTAGAGAATAGTCTGGAAGGCTTCTCAGAAGACTGGCAGGAGCCTGGCCAGAGAACTTTGGACCAGATCCTCAGGAAACTGCCAATTCGGAACCACTTCAACCTGAATTCAAGGTGGAGGATTTTTAACCAGGAGCTGCTACAAACCTATGAAACTACCAATTTCAGTGGTCACTCAGTCCTCCTCTGTCCTACTAAACATCTTCCTCACAGCCCTGGGAGATAGACACTAACCTCTCACTCAGTTCTAATCCATGAACATGGAATAACTTTCCATTTTCGTGTGTCTAGCTCCATGTATTTTTTTTTAAAGATTTATTTATTTATGCATACAGAGCTGAGGTACAGGTCAGAGGTGCAGGGGCAATGAGAGGATTCACCAGAGACAGAGTGGGAAGCAGAACAGGCCAACTGACGAAGCACACTGCTGAGGGGAGCAGCGGGCGGGTCAGGAGAGTTCTGCCACACCATGTGGGTCACCTCTGCAGTGGGCGGGGACTGAACTCATGCTGAGGGGGCTTTACCTTCTTAGTGCTGTGCTTTAACCCACTGCACCACCAGGAAGGACCTCCATGTATTTTTTAAAACAATATCTTAGTTCACATTGTACAGATCTTTTGACTCCCTTATAAGTTTATTCCCAAGCATGTAATTCTCTTTGATGCAATTGGAAATGGAATTGCTTTCTGGATTTCTTTCTATTCTCATTTGTTGTTTGTATTTAGAATACAACGGAACTTTGTATATTGGTTTGTAGCCTGTGACTTCACTGCCTTGATTTATTATTCTAATGGCCTTTTAGTGGCATCTTTAGGACTTCCTGACTATATCATTAGGTTGCCTGCAAATAGTGATGGTTCTACATCTTCTTTGATAGTAGTGGTGAAAGTAGATTTTCTTAAAAAGATTGATGTATTTATGCTAGAAGAACTGGGGTACAGGCCGGAGGTGTGGGGAGTGAGAGGATTCACCAGAGACTGAGTGGGGAGCAGAACAGGCATATGCACTGAAATACATTGGTGCAAAGAGCAGCAGGTGAGACAGGAGAGGGCTGCTGTGCCACGTGGGTCAGCTCCCTGTCTGGGGATTGAACTTGTGCTGCAGTGGCTTCAGACAACTTCCTAGTGCTGCACTTTAACCTGATGGACCACAAGGGAGGGCCCAAAAGTAAGCATTCTTGTGTTGTAGCAGATCTTCCAGGGAAAGCATTTAGGTGTTCCTCATCGGGTATGATGCTGGCTGTGGGCCTGTCACATACGGCTTTTATTATGTTAGCGTATTGGTGGTGGGTGAGGTACTGTCATGTACACCTGAGGAGGACTGAGCCTGTGCTCCTAAGTCCTATGCAGCATTATAGCCAATGCTACATCAACCAACCAGGAATAGTGTTAAAAACAAACAAACAGTGAGTCTATTAAAAGGAAAGGGCACCCAGAGAAAGGAAGAAGGCAAAGCCAGGCATGGACCAAGTTTCACAACCCTGGTTCCACCACTTTACCAACTTTGTACTCCATCTCTTTGCACCTCAGTACATCGAGAAGAATAGGATTATCTTGCAGTTATTTTGAAGATGAAAGATAGATGTTAGTCAAAGCCGGGTCCCACCCTCAGTAAGTGCGTTCCCTTCACTGTGCAATGTCACAGGACTGCAGAGTTCACTGAGTCGCTATCTTTCCCCCAAATGTGACCCTATTAGCTCACAGAAGGAAACCGTAACCCAATTGGTCCCCCTCACTCTGTCTCCGCCATGTAAGGACAGTTCGCGCTGGCAGTGGGAGCACTGAGGGCGTGTGTGGCCTTCCCAGAGTCTTGCTGCAGGGAGACCTGTCTTCTCAAGCCAACGACAGGGCTCTCACCCCTGTGTGCAGCCTAAAGGCAGCTATTTGGTTAATGGAGTTACCAAGCCAGGGGCTGAGATAGTGTGGAAAATGAAGTTTGCCTACAATGACCACAAAGAGCTTTCACATAGACCTGTGATGAAAAGAATGGCCTTTCAAAAATACTAGGAGATCCCACCACGAGGGGTTTGCGAGGCACCGCTGACCTTCAGGTAATCACAGCGATGTTGGCTTCCTGGGGTCTGGACACCTGTGCTGCATGTGTCCACGGCCTGGCTTCCCAACCCTGTGTTTCCTCACAAATTAGATTCAGATTCTTTATATGTGTTGATGCTTCTGGGGGTTAATTATCACCGTGAATATTCATAATGGTCATAATTCCTGTGAATCTCTGTAAATTGCACGTGTATCTGAAATGGAAATCACTAAGCTGGGAAATATGGGTGCCAATTTTCAAGGTTATAAACAGCAACCGTTTTTTTTTCTTTTTTTTTTCAGAAAGAATTCAGCGCTGTACCTGTTGTTCAAACAAACCCCAGGCATGGTAATCTGAAAAACTTCAATAGTTAGATTTGCGTAATCACATGCCTGGTTGCTTGTATTATGCAAGACATAAATATAACTCTGCTCAGGTATTTTTATAATGATAATTCCAGTCTATACATTTGTAGCACAAAGATAGTTTGCCTTGGTTCAAAATAGACTTTTACCATCTGGTAAGACAATTAGACCAGTAGCAGGAAAGTCAAAAGGACTGGGATTCTCATTCTAAGGAGAAATGAGAAATACCGAAGGATTTGTCCAAAGTGCTCTAGAGGAGGTCCTTGCCTGTGGAAGATGGGGTTTCTTCTGAGAGTCTCCAGGGGGTAGAGCTGGAATCTTCAGTTAGAAATCAAAGAGAGCCCTCCCTGGTGGCGCAGCAGGTTGGAGCAGTGCACTGTGAAGCTAAGCTGTGGCAGCTTCAGTGTGAGTTCGATCCCTGCCCCAGAGGTGACCCACATGGAGCAGCAGACCCCTCCTGTCTCCCCGCTGCTCCCCTCAGCAGTGTATTTTGTCGATCTGCCTGATCTGCTCCCCACTCTGTCTCCGGTGAATCCTCTCACCACTCCTGCTCCTCTGGTCTGCACCCCAGTTCTGTAGGCATAAATACATAAAATCTTTAAAAAAGAAATCAGAGAGAGAGACATTCTGACACCCGAGGCACTGAGAATAGTGCCGTGAGGGAGAGGTCCCTGCTGGGTGCATGATGTAGGCTCGGGGAGTGGCGGCAGAATCAGAGTGGGGCTTCGTGGCTCTCACAGCTCTGAGTTTGGGATCTACCAGGTGACAGGTGGGTCAGTAAAGGGAGGGAGGGCGAACAGCTCTATGTTCTCACGTGCCAGGACATGAGCTTCAGACAACCTACTTCTTCCCTCCTCTCCCGACTGTAAACTGAGGATGACAGCGGTGAGGATTAAATGTCCCACACAGAACATGTGCTCAGTGCCTGTTCACTGCCTCTGGTGTTGACATCACCACTCATTAACACGATAAACTGGGCCCTGTACATACACAGAAATGTTTTTTAGCAATAAAAAGCCCTAGAGATCAAGAGTTCGGATTTAGCAATAAACACCGGTATTCGTCGCATGAATCCTTTTCAATTGCATCTTTTGGGAGGAGTCTTCCAGTCATCAAACAACAAGAGAACATCATCATACATCCCGGGACAGACCTGTTTGTTTGCTCTCTGCCGCTATCCAAGGTACTTTTCACAGACTTGGATGTGTGGTGGCCAGCTGTGATTATTTCTCCTACCTAAAATAAAAACACAACACCTGCTAAGTGGTGCAGTACTCTCTGATATATCTTCAAAAATATAATA